CCGAAGGCAACTAAAAGGCCCAAAAGGACTTCTCGAGGCACTGCTGCTTCCCCAGCAGCAGCAGCAGCAGCAGCAGCAGCAGCAGCAGCAGCAGCAGGGCCGCGAGTTTGGCTTGCTGCTGCTGCTGCTGCTGCTTCAGATAATTCAATCTTCGCAGCAGCAGGTGCAGCAGCAAAAACCAACTCTCTGTAGCTGCCGCCCCACAGCTGCTGCTGCGGCAGCGGCAAGCCGCTGCATGCGGGGCCCACTAAAGAAAGCCAGGGGCCCCCGGGGGGGCCCCCGGGGGGCCCCCCAGGGGGGCCCCCCTGAGGGGCCCCCAAGGGGGCCCCCTGGGGGCCCCCCGGGGGGCCCCCAGGGTACAGGAATTGCTCTAGAGGATGTAGCTTGCAGACGGCTTCCGTACCAGCCTGCAGTGCATTTGCCTGCTGCTGCTGCAGTTCCTGCTGCTGCTGCTGCTGCAGTTCCTGCTGCTGCTGCTGCTGCAGTTCCTGCTGCTGCTGCGGCGACGGCTCCTGCTGCTCCTGGGCCTGCGCTTCCCACTGTGGAGGGCTGGGATGCCTCTGCACACCCTGCTGCTGCTGCTGCTGCTGCAGTTCCCGCTGCTGCAGTTCCTGCTGCTGCTGCTGCTGCTGCTGCTGCTGCTGCTGCTGCTGAGTGTGCGGTGTCGAACTGGCCCTGCGGCAGCGGCTTGGCAGGAACAGCTTTGGGGCTGCATGCGCTGCCCCAGCAGGAGGCAGCTCTTTGCATGCAGGGGGCCCCATGAGGGTTTGGGGCCCTCGAAATGAAGCCAGGGGGCCTTTAGGGGGCCCCCTGGAAAGCCGGTTGGGGGCCCCATCGGGGGGCCCCCTGGGGCACAACCAACGGCGGCAGGGGGGCCCCCCGGGGGCCCCCGCAGGGTGCCGGGGGGCCCCTGGGGGGCCCCAGAAGAGAAGGCCGGGGCCTCCAGGGGGCCCCCAGGGGGCCCTCACCCAGCCTTGAGGCCACTTAGTGCAGGGGCGGCTGCGCATTTCATTGGAGTGGCATTTTCATTTAATTAATTGAAGCAAAAATGTAAATAAAAGACTTTTAATTTATTTTAAAATAAATAAAATGAAGACTTACTCGGGGGAACGAGATGGAGTGGCCAGCGAGCTGCAGTGACACCCGAAGCCTGCTGCACAGACACCCCAGCGGCCGCAGCCAATTTGACTACACCGCCGTTTTAAAAATTAAAAAAAAGAAAAAAAAGAAATTAATTTCAAATAAATTAATTCAAATATAAATTCAAAGAATCTAAAAATCATTTCAACCCCAGAGATCCAGTCCCCCCTACGGGGGGCCCCCGGGGGCCCCCTGGGGCCCCGCAGTGGGGGCCCCACAATGGGGCCCCCAATTGAACCCCAGATCTCCCTTAAACCCTTTAAATACTTTTAATTATAAAACACTTTTAAAAGAAAAACATTTTAAGTGGCGGTTTTTCATTTTGTATTCATAAATGCCACTTTTTGGCGAAATTACCTCTGCAGTAGGCTGCATGACATATATATATATATATATATATATATATATATATATATATATATATATATATATATATATATATATATATATATATATAT